ATACTTAGTACGTAATGCTTTATGATTTAGCCTGTAGATTTAGCTAAGTTTAGGGGTTACACGGGCAGTTTCGTTTTTATAATAGGGGAGCATCTATTTTATATATTAGCATAATCGAATTTTCAAAATCTCGCGTTATTATATTTTTTCCTCGATGATACAAAAGGTGAGGCTTTATGGAACAGCTGAGCATTTTCTACTTCGTTGCTTACCTACAAAGCAAAATAATCGACCTGTTTTTTTTTGGATTTTTTACAGTTTCACGTAATTTTATACATAGAATGATTATTTGAGATTCTTACTCCCTTCAAGGCTAAAGTATCATGCTTGTTGAACTTTTATAGACATGCTTACTGTTTTGGGTGCATTAAGCGATTTGATCTAACAGCACTGTGAAGGAACTTCTAACTATTGTTTTCATAAAACCCCACAATGTTGCCAAAGTATTGTGTTCTCGAGTCATATAAGCGCTGTATTCTGTTGATCAGCAACCCGCCTTAGTACTTATAAACGTCATTGTCCTCGGAACAGCGCCGAAAATTATACACTCATTTCGTTTTGTAGAAATTGCTGTGCAGTTAGCAAACGGTAAATTCAAATTTGTGCAAATCACTCATAAAAAAAAGAGAGCGCTGCTTAAGACTCTGCAAAAAGCAGCTAGGGCTATTATAGATAAAGACGTTTTCGTCGGGCAGCCAGCTAGTGAACTTGTGATGAGCTAAGCCTTACTGAACGATACCCCAAGGTTGTGGTAACAGCTGCTGCAGCTGCTGGTAGTCCAAATGAGCTTTTTACGACACCTGTTCGTTCGCTTCGTTCTTTAATATATTTCAAGTGACTACATGAACAGCACGCCTTGTCCAATGTGCAAGATTCATTCAGCAAGGGTGTACCCTGCCCAAAGCATGGCCAATTGCGTATGAGTTGGAAAAGGGAACTGAACATGAACGAATCTTCCAAGTAACATTGCGACCAAAGGAGTAGAAAACAGTTGGATGAAGACTCCCTCGCAGGACACCCTTAAGATGGCCTTCTTGTATGTGATGATTTTGCTTCGATAGCAATAATCTACGCACTCGATGGCGTCGTGCAGTTATACTAGCTCATCAAACATCTCGACGAGGCGCCCCGTCTTACGCCAATGGTCTCACCAAAAATAGTTGAGCTTAACGATCGTAATTTGTGGCCGAAGTGATAGTCACATGAGTGCAGATCTTTTCTTACAACGTGCACCTCTGTGGTTGCAAGTGGAAAAAACAGTTCGGACGTGCTTTACAGTGCGCTTTAAGGACTATATGTACACCCACTGAGCGCGGATAACCACGAGACGCAAATAGGAGAATGGTGTCCACATGATCACATTTCCTTGACACTGTTCGTACAAGCTGCAACCCCTACATGTGGTAGCTGTTAGGTGATGAAAGGTTTTGTTGACTAGCACAAAATAATCATTATTCACAGTCGTGTCTAAAGTCGAGAACGTCGTGTCTTTATTATTATCTTTTCTATTAGGCAAGACAGGTACGTTTTACTGTACGAAAACACAAAAAAAAAAAACCGAAAATGATAACACAAGCGACCAGTCAGCTAAGCCCATCGGGCCACCACAAATTGTCATTCCAGCAGACTAACCGTAACCCTAGAGAATGGAGTTTCTGTTTCGGATTGTTTTCACCGCAAGAAATAGATAAGAGACAAAGTTGGTAAAGCATTCATCTGTGTCTTTGAAATGTAGGTTCGTGCGTTTTAGCTGTCAAACAAAATAAAGTGCGTATTGTTAATTATATTGTTCAGATAAATGTGTGTGTGTGCTACATCTTCGTGCATAATCATTTGTGGCTTATATAGCCCCACCGTTAACCCATATAGCAATACTTAATCAATATCTGTCGGCGAGACAGAGGCGTCTTTACGTGACAACGTTCTTTCAATGTTAGCATCAAGTAGATTTTGTTCCGTATAGCCCACCTTCTTCCCATTACATTAATTTAATCCTTAGGACAAGACCTATGCATACTCTATTACGGGTGCTAAATTTACGACTTCCTCAATAAAATGCTATCTAACATCAGCATTCTTGTACATGCTGATAATCCTCTGCATATATATATATATATATATATATATATATATATAAGGGAACAAGGCGTCTTAGACCAATACAGACGTCATGACGAGTTACCAATGTCTCGTACTGTCACGTATATGCTCATCTCGTATACCTGAGCTGCCGGATTTTCGTTTTGGGATCGATTTGAATGGCCTACACATTATTATCTAACTGAAAACCCGTTAAGCAAAAATTCTGCATTACTAGTTTACTTATGCTCAACTTGTTACACTAAAACAAAGTGTTGGTCGTCTGGAAAAAAAACTCAGTTTGTGACTAGAAAATCGTAGATAGGTCCAAACTTGATCGAAATTTGTCGAAATCTAGTAACCCATATTAAAGTATAAGCTGTCCTTAGCGAAATAGACATGACCAATACATTCTGTAGGCACTAACTAATTTGTCATATGTACCACCACTCGTATTATACCACTCTACCAATAACGAATGTCCAAGTGTTTCTCGGCGTTCCATTTCGACATAGTTGTACTACGACAGTTTTCCCATAGATATAAGTTCGTCTCTCGAAGGTAGTTACAACAGAGAGATTGTGGAAACACACTTACTAAGGGAACAGCATTTCGGCGACAGTGTCTTTCTAATATTGTCGGCATACAATGTTAAATATATTGTAGAAACAGCTGTATATTTTCAAGATACCACTAACTCTCAACCTTCATATATCCCATTTCTGTTTTGCACCAGTAGTCAACTTGCTTTATAACTATAATATTATATTCGTGTTATAAAGTGAAGGTTGTATCCACTTGAGGAACTCGGACCGATTCTAGGCCTTGCAGCTAGAAGGTCCTTCTAAAGGGCCACGTTTAAAAAGTGTTGTAAGGCGCATAATTATTCGTTTCAGGGTAGAATTTTGCGAGATTTTAACAGAAGAATGGATTGCAGTTCGCAAAACATATTTCCGTACTTCTCCGATTCGTACACAAATCTATCTACTTTCAAATAATAACTTGCAAGCTGCAAGTTTTCGAATTTAAAATGGCTGGCTATTCATGTATTGTATTTTACACAAGACAGTACAAAATAGTCATTACTAAGCCATTCAACCACAATGCGATCTTGTTTCGTTAATAATGGCTGCCGCTGCCCATATATGTATATATGATGTTAACCAATGACACGAATTTAACTGTGATGTTATTACAAATCACTCTATTTATATATATACTTTTTTCATGATCCATGCCGAAAACGGTGCGTAGTCTATAACTTGGTAGCACTTACTCGTGGCCTGAAGTTTAGAGGTCACAGAAGCAGAGTTATTGTTCGACTACAGCAAAGAACCTTGACGTTATATTTCTATCAGATGATATATTAAAATACTTGTTGTAAAGCAGGACCTTAGGTCAGAATAAATGCAGCTTAATTGGATTGAGTGGGTGCGTGATCCGACAGAGTATACTTTTCGTCACATATCGAAAAATATAGGCTTTTACTTAGCAGAAATTCGCTTTTTCATTACTTACTTATCTCTTCTATAATATAAGAATGAATATACTAATGACAAAACATTATTCCTATCATTCTAAAAATTGGCCATATGTCACGATAAGCAGCTCGAAACCGGGAGCACTGTGACACAACTGGTACTACCGTATGATGTATCCACCATAAACACCTCGATTTACTCTTTAATATTGGTCCTACACCAGCTTCTTTCACCTTAACATTGCATTGAAGCATTTAATAGCCTTTTCCATAGGCGTATCGTTGACCAGCACGCTTGATATATCACTTTGTACCGTATGTCGAATAGACATGTTTTTATGAATATGCTCTAAATAACTCCTCATTACAAAAACGGATAAAGTCAACGGAGGATATCTCCCTCTGCATAGGGGGGCGGGATCGGGATATCATCTTCGTGCGACTGTATCTCGTCAAAGAGCCAGGTTTAATTGCTGCACTGTGGAGGTTTATTTAGCGTTTTGAAACAGAACTCACGGCCAGAATGATTCGAGGTGACCACAGCCCCTTAGTAACAACAGAGACAAGTGATAATAACGCATTTACGTCCAACATCGACTTTTCAATGTATGGGGCACAGCACCGCCGTACACCCCCTATGTTACATTTCTACTAGTCCGTAATTTATAAACGGCTAAGCTTCCCGTCCTGATACAGAACTGCTTTAGGGAAACCTCTCACATCAATCAAATTGGTGGGTACGCCGTCCCGACGCCTCGTCAGTAATGGCAACCATTAACTTAACAGCTGCAACTTCTTGTGGCAGCAACACTTCTGTCTTTGAGTTGGGTAGTTGATACATTCGAAAATGTTCATTTTCGAATGATTTCGAATTGAGGAAACGCGTACGTAACATCACAGTTGACAACAAAGCCATGGATTGCTTTCGCGTCAATAACTACCATCACTATGTATTAGAGGTAGATACTGCAGGATAGCACACAATATCTCTGCTGATTATGAAGAGAAATTTAAGATAATAATCCCAACACATAATTACTATGTGCCTGTGCTGTGAATTTGTTATTTCGTTTCGGGTGAAGAGTAAATATATCGCGGTAATTCTACTGGAGATGGAAATTTCATTTCCGCGTATTCTCGTCGGCAACAATACTACTTGATGATTTATCTTCACTCTGCACAGATGAAGCTACTCTAGATAGATATAAGACTGCCGATGCTGACCACTCACACAATAGCAACCGTTCGATCGAGTGCTGCATAACTTCACACTTTCTGATCAGCGGGTTTTGCTAGTCAGTCTGGCTGATATCACCCGCAGTCTGATATAAGCCATAGACCATAAAAAAGAGACCATAAAAAATCTCCATCCCGTTCCAGCTGGAATACTCTTATAACAGTTGATCTTTCAGCCCGTTCCATTACTAACCAATACGATTCGAGTTGCGGACAATGTAGCTTGAGTACAGACGCGCCTCATTCGCTCCTAACTCGACTGAAATTAAATTTTATAGAGCTTGAATATCAATCAATCACCATAAAACTTTTACCTCAAAAACGTGTTCAAAGCATCATCAATAACATACAGCGCACAGGACTCCTAGACAAAGTGAAATTGAAGCGACGAGTTCATAGGAGCAGATCAAACTTCCAACAATACATTAAATGACTTCCTGAACCTCAACTGATTCCATCTAACGTAAGTATATCTCAGCTAAACGCCAATCGTTATTCGGTTTCTCTCAGCGAATTTGACTTACGTTACACCTAACCTTACACCAACTATAGGTCGACTGCGCATTTTCACAAACACGATTCCAATTTTATGATGTTCTATGGCACCAACCCCTTTACTCGGCTGCAGCTAAAAGTAACTCGTTACTCTTGAGCTCTTTTGTGAAGCGTTCCTTTAACAACGCGTCCAATACACTAGGACAATCTTCTCTTGAAGCCGTGAAAAGCTTCGTGCGTAGGCTTTCGGCTATCGAACAAACTACCGAAACCAACAATTAGCGGACGCCTAATATTTTATATAAAGATGGTTGAAGGTGCGCTGGAAGTTTCCTCGACACGCTGACGTGACAACACTACTGCTGGCACTAAAGCACTACTGTGTTTCACCGTCACGTCCACTAAGGTCCGTGTAAATTTGACGAGAAGAATTACAGTGTTAGTTGGACAATAATTAAAATCGGTCATTGTATGACGAGTTTGGTGCTCAGCAAATATTTTTCGGTAGAGACACGTTGGCCTTTTAAGTGGGAACCAGGCTACAAGATCAATGCAGTAGATGCGTAGCTGCGAAGGTACGCTTTTGGTCAAGCGCCAAAAAGTCCTCGACTATCTCAAAAACGGTTACATTCAAGTAAAAAAAGAGTGCTTAATGATAACTGCCGAACATAGGCGATTCGTAGTAGTTCGCATATACAGTAGACAATAATAAGAGTCAATTGTATTTTATCGAAATGCTGAAACATCTTGCGATACGCTATGTCATAAAAATTCTCTGCTTAGGGAAACGAAACAGAATCGTGAAAATTCAAAACATAGTGTGGAACAAAGTCAAAATTCTGTTTGAATTCGTGTAGAGATAGTTAAAAATCCATTAGATTGGATACAAAAATCAATTTTTTATGCCTCGATAGTAACTGGAAAGAGCAGCTAGCAGAATTTAGAGGCGCTACCAAAAGTTTCACAGTGCTAGAGTAGAGAAGAGAAAGGTGGAAGGCATTTAATGTCCAACCCATGACCACGAACATGAGGAACCTCGGGAAAAATACTTTGGTTACAAACAACTCATTGAATGTATGAGTGAATGATAATTCTAAGATGAATAGACTTCCCGTGTTATTGTGACACTGAGGTTTCCCACTTACGTTTACAAATTGCGGACACAGTAGTGGATACTGCTTTTTTTTGCGTATAGAAAACGTAATTAATGAAGCCACATTAAAACAGGGTCATCAATACACGTAATGATAAATGGTAGTAGGCACGAGCGGCCATAGCGTCTCAATTGCGAATCTAATGCCTGTGCCGTTGTCTATTTTGGTTTCCAACGGGCGTCGCTTGCTGGCCATACGGCTTTCTTCTCAGCTTAGCTGAGCGTGCACTTTTATTCGGCAACGCCGCGCTACCATCCGCACACGTTTGTCCTGCGGAGTCTTTAATAAGCGTCAGCACGAACTGGCAGCCAGTCAGTCAGTCAGTCAGTCAGTGCTCCTCGACTTTCTATGCTAACGTCGTTGGCTACAAACAACAGGAATCAATAGTGCTTTGTATTTGTAAGGCGTCACTTTGTTCATTCCCTTCTTTTGCAGTAACGGTTATAAACGACAAGCAACATTGACGTGTCTTTACAAGTGGACGTACAGAGTTAACTTTTGACTGAGACTTTTGAGCAAGTATAGTTGATTTTCCGTATCACTAGATATTATTGAAAGGTTGAATTATGCGATACGGTTTATATTGACCGACTTAACAACCACAGGCGGTATCGAAATAAGGACGTATTACTTGTTTCAATAGGCAACTGAGGTCATGGAGCGAACGAATAATGCTGTGTCTGTACAATGACTTGGTACTACACAAAGACATTGAAACGCATTTGGTAAATTCAAAGGATATTATGCGCTAGCGTACCTCACAGATATTCCACGTTATTTAGTAATCAGACGTCTTTAGTGCAGAACCAGACGGTAGCGTGCCGTGCATAACGTCAGTTGGCCTTCCCTTACTAATATGCATAAATTAATACCTGTACGTCGTAGTAAATTACCAATAGGGAGTTTTGATTGTACAATCTAAGATGTTCCATTTGAATTTTCGCGGTTTGAGCAGTTCGGAGCTAATATTGTTAGTTTGAAACATCACCAGTTGATCATTTTTGCAAGAGAATTTCAATTTTACTTACTTACTATTTAGAGATTTACTATAAAAAATGAAATAACAATGTGTAACTGGTTGCGTTCCTAAGAATTAGCTGTATTGGATATCCGTATTGTGGTTACGTGGACTTGTGAGAATCCAAGTTATTTTGTTACCAGAAGCATTTGTTTTTTATCTAATGCATGCAGTAAGCTATATGTATAACATTACAGATGACGATGGATATCAAAATACACGACTACTATGTGCCACTACTGGAAAACGTTGCGACGGGTAAGCTCTGCTGATCGATGAATAAAGATACGGTTTATGTAGTGAGGCTTTGAGGCAAAATTTACTTACTAATGTGCTTCGTTTCTGAATTTTTTATGCTATATCGCGTGAGTTGCGGATCTTTAGGAACACAATCTGAAGAGACGTACAGAAGAGTATAGTCTGACTTGAACTTTAAACGGGTTACACTTGTCCGGCATGTAGGATCCTTGATTGTGTTCTAATGTGAATAAAGTTACCTGCACAATTATTACACCCCACTGACGGACGTCGTTGGCGAAAACGGGTAGCTCTGGCACGTAGAAACCTATTGTAATCTTCAAGCTTTACGAAGTACTACGTTTACCCCCAAATAATGGTTCAACATAAGGTGTAGTGATTAAATGATGACCTCGGCAACGTCCGACGACTCTCGCCCGCCTGATTAATTAAGTCTAACAAAGACGACGTTGTATCTATCTATCTATTACTGATAATTTTCTTTGATGCTAATCCATACATAAGCGCCGACTACGCTATTACGATGCCTTTGAGCTCTGAGATTCTTCGCTTCAAGGACGTTCTTCTTATCAAAAATATAAGAAAACATGGCCATTGTTCAAATCCGTGCTAATAAATACCAAGAAAGATTATGTCGATAGCACTTAGCGACTACAATTATTTCTTCCTGGCTGCATTAACTTAGTACTTCCCTCGCCTTCAGCGTTGAACTTGCTAGCCCAATTGGTAATAATTCGCTCAGTGAGCTAATTATTAACACGGCGAATGATTACATACCGGAAGGTAGCTACACAGAAAAGGCATACATCTGGCTGGTTGCGACACCCGCTGCAGGCAGCAACCATCAGGATCGCTGCTTCTCAAGTCCACCAAACAAGCCAGTGCGTAAGCTTCTCGTTGTCCGGTACCGTCCGGCGCCAAAGCAGAAAGGCTTCCTCACTGCATCATCGCTAGCGACGCTTCAGCTAGTCTTGTAATAGTGCTGCAGAGAACTGACGAATTCGATTCTTAAAGGGAATGAGATAAAGAGACACCCATCTAATGCTAATCTAGCACATAGGATTAAAAAAGAAATGACTGCTATTTATCTCACCTACTGATCTTTTTGCTAACCTTCTTTTTCAATCGTCGTTTTAAACTTATTTTGGCCTATTCCACGTTAGTTGTCATTGCCAATCAGAGTTCATGCAGATAATTCCTTGACTACATCCTACCTCTATCTATGTAAATCATCAAAGCAGCGGGTTCACAAATTGCATACTGAAACAAGAACTGTACAAAGACGGAAGACGTCACACAAATTATTTCGATTCACTTTATGCTATTTACTCTATATTTCCGTTTTTCTCCTTGTTTAGAGCTCACTGTTTGTTACCACTATTATCTTTACTTATCCAGTTCTATTAGTAGGCTAGTCAAACAAAACCAAATTATTGAACTATAGTTTTGATGCCTTGAGGGACTAGGGCATAATCAAACTATATGGGGATGTCATTACTATTATATTATCACTATTACCAGTGTTTGTTTCTAATTTTAGATTAGTAGAGAAGAACTTTTCTTCGACTCAAACAAATGGATTCACGACGATTGCGAGCATTTTTCTTTAGAGCTTCTGAAAGAGCAGTCTTCTGAAAGGAAGCCGATTTTAAACAATCTAAATTCAATAAATATAGCCAATTTGAAGTCCACAACAGCTAATAGGCACTTCTTAGGTTAAGTATAGGATATGTGCCTAATGAAGGCTCGCAGTAATTTTTTTCCGTTGAGGAACGGTGCAACCGTTATATGAATTATGAAATAGAAGCTAGTTAAAATTGAAAATAGGTAAGGTAGGTTTATTCTCATTAGCTGTGATTCGCAGGTTCCGAAGCACCCCGTGGCGTACGTTGAGCTTAAGTAACTACTAATATTGAGCCAAAGGTCAATCGCAAATGTGCCGGACATCTCATTCAATGCTGATTTATGCATTATGGAGCTTTATAAGATGGAAGGAATACGTGGAACGAACTTTCTACATTGGTGTCGTGCGGTGGGATCATTCAACAGCCTGCCGATTGGTTGGATTCTATGGAGGCTCTTGCCCTGCATATACGAACAAAAAGCGCTCGATTTAGGATTACATCTAAATATATTATTAAGGAATGGAAAAAAAATCTTGAAAAAAAACTGCGCAATTCCATAAACTGTAGTGGTTTGCGAAAGAAAAATTCGCTGGCACAGCTAGTAAACTTTCCGTGCCATCTACACTTTCTCGAAAACCTTATTTCAAGCCATTAGTGTTCAGAACTCTCGTTCTTAGACATCTTTTTTTATTTAGCAGAATGTGCAGGGTGCAACGCCGGAGAGAGAATATTCCAAGCCTGCATCTCTAATAGAAGGTCTCCCAATTTAAATTGTCCGGGGCCAACGTACAGCGGATTTCACCATAAAGTTTTTAATAATAAAAAGTGTTGTTTCGTCAATCACGTATGATTCGTGTCAAAGGATGTCAAAAGTGTTTTGCTATCTATTTACTTTGCAGCTCTCCAAAGAGGGTTGACTGAATCCTTTGCGGAGGTTTTAGTGAGAGTGGAAGATTGCCCCGACTTAACAAAGGCACCATTTTATCTTGCTGCAGAAGGTCTTTCAGGATCGGCTCGTATCTGTGACGTTGGGGGTACGTATACTAGCGAATAACATTTGATACATGACGCGATTGGAACACAAGATTAGTTTCACATGAATTTTATTTATTAGAGGGCCTTAACAAATACTGTGACGTCGATGATATGGGTATTTTTGGGTAACTATAAGCTTTTACGTCGGATATAAGGTTTTATCTAATGGTTCCATGAATTTGGCTATAAAAAAAGTAATATTTATTTGACCATTCGAATTTTTGTTCTCTTTCGCAAAGAGCCGCCCACGATAAAAGCTCATTTTATCACGAACCCTTCTAAACTCTCGGAATCCTAGCTAGTAATGATGCCGACGCTATAGCTTAGATAGTCGCGATCTTCCTTTATTTGTCCTAGACTGTCCTGAATTAGCTTGGAGACTTTGCAGACAACAGGAATCGATATTCCTCAAGCTAACCTAGAGGAAAAAAACATGCCTCTGAAAACGAGACTTCTATGCATATCCTGACTCCTCGTGCGTAACATTTCACATAATTTATGCATATCTAATTTCATACAAATAGATAACCATATCCATCTGAAAATTACCTAGTTAAATTGATGCCTAACAATCCGCCCCATATAAAATAAGACAAACGAAAATGTTTACTTTTAAACAACTTAGGCGACCTAAGCTTAGGTGTCACGCGTACTTTCTATTTTGATCAGTCGCATAGATCAGTCGCAATAGACTGATCTGTCACGAGACTAACCTGCGATCATTTTATTTATTTGCAGGAGTTCCCTACTTGATACCAGTAGCGCGGCCTGAAAAACGTTATAACTACGAAGAGGTATTATATATCACTTGTTGGCGCTACCCAGATAACATAATACATAGCTATCTGAGTTTGCGACTCCATAATACACGCAGCTACTGACACCTGGTGTGTATTCTTTAATAGTAGCTAGCCTGTGCGCTTCTGCATAGGGCGCACCTTGCTGTTTGTCATTTGGAAAAATACTCATAAGAGGGGGGCGTGAGCCATATAAGTGCATAATAAGTTCTCAATAATATGAGTCTCAAATCACTGTTCTCTAGATCACTCTAAAATGACAATGTACAACGTGCGCATACCAATGATTTTCTAATGGCGTTTCCATTAAACAATCTAATATTCTCTACCGATTGATTTCGAATTATCGGTAGATCGCTCTCTTGGCTGGCGTGCCGGATGGTTTCTTTGTCGGTGCCGGTGCAGGTCCCTGCCATGTTATCGGTACGAATTCCGAGGTAAGAATTACTGGACGTCTTATAGCTATAACTACATCCGATAGATGTGTCGCAAAATCCAATACGACATCACAACCGACAGTAATTTTAGTGTATACGATACAATATCTAATAAATTAATTGTACAAAGGCTTATATATATATATAAAACTAACTTAACGTGGAGGTTGACAACAGCTGTGGGCACGGGATAAAAAAGTTACATCAGTCAGTTCGCAAAATGCTGTTCTATTTTGTGGCCAAGAGGAACTTCTTTCATCTCCATTCATTTTCCAAAATAGAGTGACTGTAATAAGGCAGGATGCCCGAACCGGACCGAATCATAGGCGAAATGATTCTCTTCCAAAAAAAGCCTGAAATACTTACATTGGTGACAATTACAACTTGGCCAAAATGCAAATACTCTTCAGAGCGAAAAAAAAAAGCGATCTTTGCTACCAAAATTAGAATAAGAAAACTTTCAACTGATTCCAAAGCGTATCAACTAGCTTATCTTTTGTACACGCTCAGATAAGCCTTAGAGAAGGTTGGTGGTAAAGCTTGAAAAAACAAGCAATATTGGCCATCCAGCATCGCCTCTAAATTAAGCAGTATGCCTTAGAGGCCTTCACTGGGATCCTTGTTACCGGACGCTACCAAATGCTATCGGACTATTTTATCCAATTCAACCTAAAGAAAGCTAAAATCTGCCTAGTTGGATTCCGAGTTCAAGTCGCTAATATTCTCCTACTTCGGTTATATGTTTTACCTGTCCCATTGCCATTTACAACGAATTGATTTATACCGTTTTAGCAACATTTCTTCTGCTATCAAGTGACTCTGATCCAGACGTGCTACTGTCATCTGTTATTCTGCAGCAGTTGTAGGCATCTATTTATACACACCTTATTGAAGTTACTCTACTAATGGATAACGCCTTCTTTATGATGTAGTTTTTTTCTATGATGAAGCCTCACGCATCTTTAAAAAACTCTTAATCATTCTGTTGTAAAAAAAAAAAAGGACTATTCTTGCAAACCGTTTCTTGTACCGATTGTATCAAGTTAAAAATAGGCTTTACATTTCGATTTGCTTTAAACTCTCAGCCTTTACCAAGATAACTGCCCAAAAGGTAATTCCCCTTTATTTTATGGGGACTTTTTCGATACTGCTATGTTATATAGCAATGATAGCATCGTTCACAAAAGCCGACTATAGACTAAGCAAACCAGTGCTGCGCGTCACTTTGTTAATATAACAATATTGATGAAGATATCGATCAAGAGTGATCACACTTTTTATTCGTTGATTTTTTCCAGTTAATGCCAAATATCAAATGTGGCGGTAATTCAGGAAACTTGACAAAAAACAAAACTTATTACGCCCGCATTCGTGAGGACGGGAGTCACCTTGTGGAGAAAGTGCCTCACGGATCAGCCGATTTCAGTTTAATGGGAAATGTCTTTCTATCGGAGGGAAAACCAGGCAAGGTCAGAGCATAAATGTGTAATCTTCACCTCACTAACTATTGACGAATAGCAAATGTACTGAGATTAACTCAATAATCTTACATTTCATCCTATATCTTGCAGGTTCTTCATCTTCATTTAAAGAAGCGAACGGGACCTGATAATTTAACCACGTCGATTCGTAAAATTCTTCTAAAGGAGTTTGGGCCTGATAGGCCTGTTGGTTTGGGTGGGGTATTCCTCATTACGAAAGGAAAAGCTAAGTTGCATATTATGGTAGGGATTGCTGCAGGCACGCAAAGACTGTCATTTAAACGAGTAGCACTAACCTTGTTAATATACAAAAGAGTATACGTAACGATATTTATTCCTTATATTTTATGAATACAGACGTGGCAGTTTTAGCAATTTGTTTTAGGTAACTTATTGACATAAAGAAGACTCGATAGATTGAACACTTACACGGTGAAGCGCTTTGAGTTTACGTTTTTTTTTTTTTTTTGATATCATGGCTTTCAAACAACACAGAGTGCGCTATATCAACTTCAGTGAGTTTCTGGAAAAAGACTCTCGTAGAATGATTCAGTAATACCGTATACAAAGCACCATGATATTGCAGATGTCTATAGACCATTATTTATGGCAAGAAACAGTAGAAATAGATACACCATATCGCAAGCTCAATCGACCGAACGCAGAAAATGGCGAATTATTCGAACCTTTTATATATGACGTATCCTTCGGATGGAACTATTCCTAAGCATAAATAACTCCTTTTCAGGGTTACGGTGACACGGCCAGCGATTTTATTGCTACTACTACCTTAGTAGTAGATATCTGCCTGATTGCTAGCGTCAGCGTTCGATTAAGATATCAAGGGTTTACATATTTTGCAAAAGCGCGAGTTTTTTTTTATTGGCTCACAAACTACGTTTCTCTGATTTGGGCTTTATCTTTCAGCCAGGTTTTTCGAAGGATCCGCTTACTAACAATGAAGATGTTGAAAAATGGCTGCACTTTTTTGAATTCTCCGCGCCACTCATTTGTCTTTCCGTCATGTCGTCATACGATTCGGTACGCTATCAGTAGATATTTTACACTTTGTTTTTCCTACCATTTGTGATGTCTATACATGCACGTTCTCCATGATCGACTGGCAATTGACTCCTGCGTAAATTGTACCTTATCCAAAAGGGAGTACGTTTTAACGACATGTAAGCTGCTCAAATCCGAAGTAAACTCACTAAGTTAATTGAGGAAGACTGCATGCAGAAGTCGTAAAAGTCAGCTGTAAGCTCTCATCGTTTTTTTTGAAATTTTTTTATTTGATTCTGGAGTATTTTTTGAGAGTTTCAGGTTTTACGAAAAAATCGTCTTGAATTATTTCTATTTGTACTGCGATCGGAAATCAGAATATCTGTTTGGCTTCATAGGGCTGGGACTTGCGTATCGACCACACGCACTGCTTCAGCACCCACGGAGCAGGGGGACATTACCACAATGATACCACCCCGGAAGAAACGGAATACGACTGTTGGTTTAACGTTGCTGAAAAAATGGTCAGAATCGATCAGCCGAAGGAGACACATCAGATCGGACGGGACTAAGATTCAGGATAACTATCTATATCACACAATCGGTCAGCGATTTTTCGTATTGTGTTAGAAAATGTGCATTTCAAATTAAACACTGACTTAAACATTGGATCTACGTGATTATAGAAGTTGCTCTTGAGAATCCTATTTTTCTAATATACTAATAAAATTAGAGATTTGCATATGAATAAAACCTACCGTCCTTATCATTATAGTTAACTTTAACTTAACGGACTGCGATACTTTGTTCATTACTACCAAAACATAGGATTTCATTATAGGGAAAAACAAGATAATGCATTTTGCGGTTGTTACTGTAAACAGACTGTAAGCGTTAGCTGATCTAATGCTTACTAACGAATGGTCGAACCGTCTGCTTCTGAGAGGAGATACAAATGGGCTATACAATGCAAGTTCCTTAATGTAAATTTAATATAGCATATCGTTTTAATGAGGCCAAGAATGTAAATTCTAAAAGTGTACGTGTGTGAATGTTTCAAATCAGCATATGGATAAAATTAGATGTGTGCCGCACTGCATGAGAAAAACAATTCGTTTCAGAAGAACAGCCAGCTGTCTGTAAGTGAAGGGCGCATATGCAATGAGTAAGGTACGAGTTAAATACACGATGAGTTGAACATCAGATCGATGCGAGTTTTATGGCATGAGGAACTCCCTATTGACCCTAAACCCTTGCTCGACCTACGTACAAACAAACGATAGAGCATATTTATAATTCGTCACATATATAATATTTCCAATCCTACGTAACCGTTTAAGATGCCAGTTACAGTTTTCCCTTACAGTGGAGGTTGCCTGCAAACAGCTGCTCTTGTCCTATCAGTGAAGGCCAAAAGAAACAAGAGTACTACAGTCTGTAGAATACGCTTCAGGCAATCTCTGGCACATTCAATATCAATCGGATAACAATAAACGAATCGCCTAGAGCTGTATCCAGTGGAAATGTTTATGACAATCTTTTTTTACATTTTTTACAATCTCGCCTATTTTTTCGATGTGCGATATGCAAAGGACATAACAAGCACTATTAATTATATTGGAGGCAATCCAGCGGTCGAGCAAGTTGGCAAAAGGCCTTAAGCTCCTTACGCCTCTATATATGTGCGATTCAAAACGATGAAACGGAGATATAGCTGGTGACCAGGATAACACCAGAGTGCGCAGCTAAGAAAAACCAGGGAACGGTGCTTTGAGAGCCTGATACGTAATCCATATCTGCTAAAAACCTTAAAAGAATCCATTGGTAAACCTCATTCCGTAAATGGCTGTACGGCGACAGTAGCCGCCCTAAGCATTAACGCACGTTAAAACTCGACGTGATTCTCGCCAGGGTTGCAGTAATTGAAAATCGATACTGCCTTTGCAACACCGGTTAATTATTTATATCAAACGCGTATCATATTAAATTCATTATTTTTGTGATTATAGGAACTGGATCACTAAAGTGTACTAAGAAGTTTCGCTTGCAGCAACGGTCTGCCCTGCAACTACGGAGTGTACTAACTTCAGTTGATTGTGGCAGCAAACAATATTGAGATAATCCCCTTCATCATTTACATAGAGCAATATGTTAATGGAGAAACTGATGTTTTAAGTCTAAATTTTATCCTTCTGTTAGAGTATTTGGAATCTACCTCAGAGAGCAAAAGATAGCGAGAACTAAACAACCCTAACCAGCAATCGGTCAGAGGGATACGGCGTGTCATAGGCCGCAGACCGCCCACTTCTTTTGAATTTGATTGTTTTAGTTCTGGATAAGACGGTACCAATTGTCATCAAGACGGCAAAATGCTGCAAACGTAAGCCACCACTCCCGTAAATAACTACATCGTCTGGGTAGAGAGAAAAATCTAAATCATATTTTAGGCCCACATAGCAATGTTGGGGAAAGAAAAGAGCTTAAGTTTTCACCCCCTGTAATCGTGGCAACTTCGAGACTTCATCATCGATTATAGCTTTATTCTCCTGGAGTATGGCTCCAATGGAGTTAAGCACGTTCGCGGGAAGCGTCAGGGAGGATGCGAACGACGACTAAAATCTTTTGGGCGAAGTCGAAAACAATTTTGAACTCTACAAACCCTGCGTAAGGATATCGCCGAGGGTTCACTTAGTATCGGCAGATAGGATCTCACACGCCGTTTTGGGTCGAACGCTTTTTTAATTCGTGTTGATCCTTAGGTATTGTATTCGCGCCTCCCAGGAACACCTTTTCTCCTTTTCTCAGGAATCTCCTTGTCAGCAAATACGAAATAAGCCTATAGCGTTCCTTAGAAATAAAGAAGCATACGCGTTCCTTGGAGTTCCGGCGTTACAACGTCGGCTGGTTTGGGTCGCCTTGCTTCTTGGGGTAATGAGGGGCGTTACATCCAGCCAGTGAAAAGAGAGCAGACGGGAACGAAAACATTTGTTGAACAAAGCAGTCCAGCACGGCGCCAGCTCCACAGGGGCCTTAACGTGTTCTTGGCGAATCCTGTTCGGTGACGCTGCCTTATTTGAGCGTAGCCTCTTGACTACTTGAGTCAATTCCACGACGAAGGACCCTTAGCGTCCCTTGTTATCATCGGTTCGATCGACGCTGCATTGAGCGATGAGGTGCCCCGAGGTACGGTGTCACCGGATAAGAACATTCCAGCGAAGTGGTAAATGAGCACCGATAACGCGATATGATACAATGAAGGCTTGCGGTGGCCAAGCTACTTACATGATTGACGTTCAACCTTTCTCCTGAAGATAGCCCCCTGCTGCTTCAGGTGTTCCTTGCGCTGAATGCTCTATGGCTTCCGGCAAATCACTCTAAGCGCTACAACAGTGACTCCGTTTTCGGTTGCCGTATTTCCGCGTAGTGTCGTTGGTCGTCTGAAACCATCCTAGCCACAGCGGGCGATCAAACGATAATCAAACGATAGTCGATGTTTCCTGAAGTGAGATGGATAAATCGGAGGTTGCAGGATTTAGATATAGAGGAAATGACACTGACAGACTATAGCATCAATCGAGTTCGGCACGGGAAAAGTTCTTGAGTCTGTTCCAGGAACTTCTTGCTGGGTGCAATTTTGAAGTCGGACTCGGTTACCTCCTCAAGCAGCAAGATACATATAGCACATTAGTAGATTAGTAACGAGGTTTTGGAACAGAGTTACGGATTAACTGCGCTAAGGTAGGAAGGTCACCGACACAGACTAAGGAATTGATGCATTCAAGGAAATATGGTGATTGTAACCAATACAGAATGTCAGGATTAATACAACAAGATCTTATGAGAGCTATAACGAATTGCTTACAAAAATATCGATCTGGAATCGAGAAACAATTTACGTAGGAGTTGGGTGTAACACAGATCGAACCTTACAGTAGGCAGATACCTGCACCGCGATAGGAAACCTGTTGAAATATTCCAATGGAATAACTGGTTGTGTGGATGTTTTTCATAATTTCACTTAACCAGGGAAAAGGATTACATTATTGGGATAAAGCAATCGATACTAGGGAAATTGGACCTGGATGGTTCTAGGTAATAATTGAACTAGGGGGTATGTAAGACCAGCCGTAGCATAAATGAAATTCGTTAATAGAGAAAAATACATCACTAAATAGTTTTGCCTAACATACAGTATAAAAGCGTTTTAAAAATACATTCGAAAACTCTTTTAAAAGTATTTGTTTATTCTGTACATATGCTTATCATCCGACAATTCACCACTTGGATCCCACCATTTGATCGCTTGGATACGTTGTGTGCATCCAACCTATGGCAATACTGATTCATGTATTTATGGCATACACAGCTGACTCCGAGCTGGTTGGTGACTGCGACCCATGGCTAGCCATAACTCAAAAAATTTAGACGCATTCGTAAGTCTTCGAACAAACTATGTCCGAGCTAACACGTTATTGTAGATATACCACGGGGTAGCCGTTCCTTAGTTTTAGGTACGCCCAAGTTTCGCAAAGTACTTATCCAACAATAGGTAAGCGAAATTCTGAGTGTGACTTTGCATTAAATTGAAATGCTGGTGTGAAAACATCATTGCTATGGCGTTCAGCTGAACTATTTACACTATCGCCACTAGTGACGTAAATTCACCAAGGCGATACGGTTTGTTTCAGTGTGTTTATTTATGCACATTATGAATGAAGCACTTTAAACCCTATTTAAATATTACAGTCAACTTTATCGCATGTTAGAGGGCAATAATTCTTACGCAAGCTTGCGTGACTTTCTCATTGAGTCACATTGCCGCAGGGCTAACATTCGAGTTTCATAATAAGCTGCCTTTTTGATCACAAACATCTAACATATCAACTGTCACAGGACCAAGCTAATCAACAATTCTTTGTCCTGACGTTAAGTTCCATTTGATACGTATTTTGCTTTTATTATTACTATGCCCCCTACGCTTTCTTTTCGCGACCGTCATTCTCATTGCTCAGTTAGCTGGTTTGTTATTATAAGTAGTTTGGGAATATATAAAATATTATTGCCCTGACATACTGAAAAGTACGAATTAGTAACGGATATTCTAATATATTTAAATACTTTGTACAGTACATTGTCTGCGCATTCGTCTTTCATCGTCCATCGGAATCAATAAGCGATGCGCGCACCGCGTCCTATTCGCTATTTCCGCCCTTTGGGGCACGCGTGTCCACAAGAAGGTCAAATATACACAGTTGACGCATTTTTCGTGCATATTCGATTTAGCCGCGAAGTGTAAAGGGTCAATGATTGTCTTTTCAACAACAGTGACGTTTTTCATTACTGATGCCTTTTAGCGGATAGACGAATTGTAATTTAAAACGTTAAGGTCTAAAAGAATTAAGCGCTCTTGACAACAGCCACAAACGAAATGTGAAGTATTTGAAACAAGCGTTTTAGGCTACTTCATTAGTAGGAAAGGACTAAGCTATTTTTGAACCTAGGCTTCTAGACCATACATTGTCTATATGCGCCGCTTCGACTGGCTTCTTTATTTTATGGTGCTCAGTGCCATTTTTGTTTGTTTGATGAACACAGTGCCCTCGAAGCGTATAAGCAAAGACAATTTAAAAGCTTCGCCATGAAATTGAAGGAAACAATGTCTCGTGCGACACTGGCCTCAATCTTAATGAACGCAGAGCAGATGGTGGCCTGATCCGTGGGTCCATTCATTGACAGACTTGTAAAGGACAAGCGGGAACAAAACGCTGCCCATGACAACCATTGCGATGCCTGCGCCCAGCATAAACTTCGGATGACGGAGCCGGAATCGCGCCCGCTTGCAATACATTCCAATACAACAGATGCCTGCAATATTAACAGTATATACTGATATTAGCAAAATAGTTTGCTAATCAGTTTATATGACTGCGCCTTGTCCATTTACTCGTGTCTTTAATGCGCACTCCCTTAACCTACAAGCGATGCGTAAGGAGTAAGCTCACAGTCGCATAACCGGTAAATCTTAATTTGGGTATGAAAGGGTTTCTAGGTAGGAAAAGAAACGCTTTTTAAATCTAAAGATAGTGTATTCAAATTAGATAATAGAACAAGATACTATTATGAGCTTGGGGGGTAAGTAGTTGACACGGCAATCAATTATAATGAAAATATCTATAATTATATGGCAAATAACTTGGGGGTCCTTTCCAGAAATTCTAAGATTAGGTATTTTTGGCCTAATTAAAGCTTTAATAAAGCTGAATCTCATTTAAAGTAAAGTGGTCAACAAGATTTTTCTAATACACAATAATATTATATATATATATATATATATATATATTTGAATCTGTGCTTCCTGTCGCGCATTATCACCTTGGTCTCGTAGATATTGTATCCGGTTTAAATATTTTGGTTAATTCGTAATCATACCGTTTGCAATACTCATTGAGCTTTACTTATGTATGCGCAAAGAGTTATAAAAGACCTGTCTGCTACCTGCCAGTGTATCAACATTTAGCTCTCAGAAAAGCAGACTGTAGTTCAATCCAATGGAATACGTCATACAAATGAACACACAGAGTTATCTTCTTTGTCAAAAGTAATGACGTTGTTCGAAATCGATGTGAAGCTCTCGGTCGACAATAATGCAAAAAAATGTTCAGCATTTACCTGGTGGTAAGGGCAGGCCACTCGACGCGAGCAAAATATTACTTCATGTCTCCAAGCTTTAATGATACACCGTCTTTAGAGCCTGTACATGAGCAATGCGCCTTACCCGGCAACGTTCAAACAGTGTAACGTGACTATTAGCTCGCACTATCAGCTCTTTCAACGTATTAGGTTTCGCGGCATAATAATCTCTGGACACGTGCAGTGATGCTTCAAAAAAAGATTTCAAAACGCTGCATCGTTACAATTTCCCAGTCAGCTCTGCAGCCATTTACTTGTACCGCAGTAGTGATTTACTAATTACCACGGCGTGCCATTCGTATACCGCATTCCTTTTTCCTGACCATTGAATTAAACGAGACAATTAAATACCGAGTCACTCAACCTTAAACCCATGTCGTAAAACGGCTGGCCGACCAAAATCCTACGTCGGCCTAATCGGCTACAACGTAAGTTATTGGATTTAATTACGAGGTGGAGCTTCCACACTGAAACATTCAACTACATAAAACTAAATGTACTTTTAATAAAAACTGCTGCCGCTATATATATATCGGTGATTTCTATAGTCGGAGAATTTCGCATACGACATTTTCAACAGCGTAAAATATGACTGCCAATCGTCATTAATCCTATGCTTCTATGAGAAATTGCTCTGCATTTATTATTATTATTATGATATTGATAAAATATTTCGGCTAAGAATAGAGCGGATGACAGGCATATAAAGTGCACCATGCCTATTTAATGGGTACCGCTACCCACAGTGCAAATTATCATCCTTTTATCTTCTTCGGTTTCGTTCTACCGTAGCCTAAGACCCCGCGTACTTCTCATGTTACGTTGAAGAATCGACACCTCAAAATATGAATCGTAGAAATCCTATGAAACAGTGCGCATTACTAATCTGTTTTTACGCAGCGCGTCTTCGAATGTATATATATATATATATATATACAGAAAATTAGGAAACTCTACGGCAGATTAGGTGAAGACGGATCGTTTCAAACGCAATATTCCATGTAGTGTAATTCATTTTGTACTTTTAACCAAAGATTTAAAGACTAACACCTCATTTGAAAGAAATGGAAATAGTCCAGAGGAAAAAATATTGTAAAAGACGTCTAATTTTTACTAGAATCTCCAGAAAACGAAGTAAAAAAATACAAAACTTACATGCATAGACAATTATTTACCTAGCTGTTATGCACTTAACTACTTTAGAACTTTTGATATCAGAAAGACTTCTCATCTGATTTATTTAAGCATCATTCACCAGTATCTTTTCATATTGTTAACAAACTAGTAACACGGTATTACCTGGAAAGACGAAAATGTTTGCGCATGCAAGACATCCAAGCATTTCAATTACAACTCCAATGTTGGACAGACTAATGGCCAAAGTCACTGTAGAGAGAAACCATAGTGTAGTAATGATAATCCTTCGACGTTTCTCATGAAGAATAAAATCTTCAGTTGAAATACTGCAAATCTCAGCATATAGCCCGTCGAACGCCCCACGGCCGCAGATCACCAAGAGCGGATATGAAGTTATCATCTTGATAATCAGTGCCGCGATACCTGCAGACGAAATATGCATTCGGATAAAATCGGTTGCAACTGCAGTTTTTCCTAACTAATTCCGTGGTAGATAGAGTAGCAGCGTAATTGAATTAAAGTCGAGATTATTCCCTCACTTATGTGATAATAATATCGTTACAACGGTATCCTTATCTTGTTGACTCATTTATCTATTACTAAAAATAATTTTTGCGGCATGAAGAAAATTTGGCGCTTTACTGTTTCCATTCACGTTAGCGATTTTCTCGCTTAAGTTGAGTACAGCTAATCATCAATCCAGTGACATCTTCATTACAAAACTACTCACCGACGCCTCTTAGTCTACATCTAATAGACATACGCCAGTTCGCAATAGAAAACGGGAGAATGTATTTTGATTTAGCTCTTTCTGGTCGAAGTTCAACCAAACTCTTGTGACAATTGACTCGGCTGTAAAGCTCTTATACACCAAACACAATGTTGCGAAGTCCTCTCAGTTGACAAAGGCTCAATTGAGTATTGTGCGGTGTGGTGTTATTTATGGGAGTGAGTCCCACACTAAAACAGCAGACCGTCTGCTTCAAATACACTGTAATAAAATTTCGAGCCTATGACCTCACACAACTGTTCAAAGCTTTTCGAAAGATTTCCTTCTGGAACAAATATCCCTAACAACGCAACGCGATGTCCACTGCAAATATATTGACGGAAATTTCATATACTAAACGCAATAAGAATACTTAGCCAAATATTAGGCATTACGTTAACTAAATATGTTACAGTTATGTATCAACTTCAGCCGCTCCTTCTTATCCACATTGTAATTGCTATAAACAGCTTATAGCGGCAGCATAAAGGGTAAAACATTAAAGTGAGCTACAAAACGTGACAAGCTAGTTCCATGCTTAAGAAGGGAATGTACGAAGAGTATGAATATGCGTTATTCTTCAAGGGCCTTGGACCTCGGTGTACTCATGTTAACTGCCTTCGTTCGCCTTTTTGTGTCGTATTTACTAAACATTACAAACTATAAAATCTAAATCGTGTATGCACTTAAAAGACGAAAGAGAACTACACTTCTCTATACAGAGCACAATAATGATATGCCTATATTTAGGTGCCGCGATTAACCCAAACCTGCGATTTCAATCCAACTCTGGCAATTAAAACTATTTAGTCCTTCGCTATAAAAGAATTTCTCGTTTAAGCTACTAGAATTTTAAACTACACACTAAAAAGTGCCCAATTAAAAGCAGCGCGTACAAGAGCTTTTACATAAAACATGCAAATATACATAATTTCCAAACGGTCTAGAGTGATAACTAGAATAAATTAGCGAAATGTTGCAACCTGCCTATATTCTGTTCACAAAAACATAAAATATTTCTTACCAAGAAGAACTTCAGGCCTTTGTCCATCGAACATCTGCATAATGTCAGGCTTAACATTATGTCCAAAGGCAAGCAATCCAAAGGTGCCCATCGCAGAGTAGATTAAAAACAAGACAATCATACAAACGATCGTTGCCTTAACGAGAGATGTTGCGTTACGTTCTCGCATATTGCAGTAAATGGGTACTAGAACCTCGTGCGTTTGGTAAGCGAAGCACGTTACTGGAACTATTGATAGTAGGTCCATCCAACCTTGACTTGATCTGCAATAGAAGTGGAACTGGTAGAAAGTAAATCACCCTGATCGATACACAGTGGGAAGTCGTACTTATCCCACATACCGGAACGTCTGAGACGTCTATTAAGCATATTTGCATCGTACGACTGAATTGACTCACATGGACATTGTGGACTGCAAGGTATAGGTTTGGCCCAAATGTTTGACCTTCGTCAAGTCAAGAATGTGAAATTAATAAACAGTTTTCACAAAAAACACAAATAAGACGAATTATTGCCCGAAGCTTCGAAGTAAACTCACATGAGGGGTGGAGGCTCCCTAAACTCCGATTGGATATCCCGTGTATAATAAACATAGCCTGTCAAGAATACCGGATATAACATGGCGAATATTCCCAGCGAGCTAGAATAGAGCCGCATAATAATAAAAGTATGTTTGGAACCGATGAGAACTTCGACATGAGACATACAAAATTACCCTGTAGATATTGTACTCTAACTAAAGAAGATACGGATAAACTAAATGGCATAAGTTATTGCGATATAATAGAGATCCTGCAAACATAAAAAATCATATGTGTGAAATATGAACCTAGCATATTTAAGAAAATCCAGTCTCTGAAAGTAGCAGATGGGCAGAACGAAAATGCTGGCTGTGATGGCGATGGTAAACTCTCGGGAAAGATACCAATCGTGACAAAAGCCATCACCAAATAGCGACAGGAACACTGGAAATATATAAAAAAAAAAACACAGGAAGTCCGTTATCTACAGACAAACGTGTGTTATCACTTGTCAGTGGTCTTTGTCGTCTGTTAGTTAAACATTCACTTCTACATCATTCCACTGGAAAATCGATAAAATACCAGCTAGAGAAACGTTCAAGTTCGCGAAGGTTCTGCTCTCATGTTTAAGATGGTAAACTTAGTGCTAGCTGACATTTCTCTCGTATGTCACCGAGACAAGATATATAAGCTGCTGGCCATTCATCTATGCAGGCCTCCTTTGTGTTCGTTATATGAATTTGTAAACATTTTTTAAACATCGCGTTAATATATGTATACTCAAAAGAGACAATGTGTGATATACTCACACCGGTCATATTGGTCACCAATGATGATGAGGAATGTAATTGACACTCCATAGCACGTGATCAAAATGGAACAGGCTGCCAATTGTTGTGCTTTGCGGCCGACTGTCGAGAGAAGTACATCGTGGTATGTACTATCGCCATTGACATCCGAGCAATACGCCAAAACCATCATAGTGGCACCCAATGCAAACATCATCACCTGCGTCAAGAAGATGATGTATGTTAACGAGTAAAAAGGGAAACAGTATCTACCGCCTTTCATAATGCTTGCATAATAAAAAATCGTAGGTTAGGCTAAACAAAGCAAGACGGTTTCGCCCAAATTTAAATGTCACTCAAAACATCCAGGGCTAATTCTTATCGTAGACTGTAAGAATAAACCGTATAGTATAGTATAGTATTTCGCCTGACTGACTTCAATTACGAATTGATGCATTCACTGTCTAACTTAGTAGGTACTCGAATAAACGATAGATTCTATAAAAATTTATACAGATTGTTTAGAACATTTATAAACGGATGATTGCAATAAACCCAAATAATTGTTTCAGTGCCGAGGCTGTTCTGCTTGTACCTAACCAATACTATCTTGCATCGTTTGCCCATTACTTAAATCTACACAAACTAAGTGGCATAAGTTATTGCGTTACCATAGTAAACTGAAGAACGGAGGAAGACTGTCGAATGCATACAGTGCCAGATTGCAACTATAAATGCACGAGAATCGCTCGTACAAAGAGAGGGCCCTAATAACATTATGTCATGTCTATTTTACAGCCAGCCGATAGAAATACGTTATATTTACAACCGTATCAATTATCCAATAATTTACAAGTCAGACTGCAGTATTTTCTTTTTTATAGTTTGCATTGGATGAACAAACGAATACTGATTCTGTCAGCAGTGAAAAAAAGTCGTTGAGGTTTATCTAACGCTGTTATTTCGTTGCAACATTTCGATTAGTTCTTAACGAGCCTTCACTTTGAATAAATGAAATTTGAATGACAGATGCTGCGAAATTAGGCCTAGTTTGCTTATCAGGGCTTCAGCATTTGGACGGAATTGCTGTTGTAATATGAAAGCTATATAAATGTTTTAATAGGTCGAAATTTTTCCCTCATCTATACAGCAGTCTTTGCATACTTTTTCGAATTAACACAGTGGGAGAATCTTAACACTTGTACTACTTGAATGACAGTCGTTTTGTATGCGAAATAAGTCATACATGTATTAAACCTGGTTGTCCTTTAGTGTCCTCCCTGCCATGATTTTGCTTATGCGTCACAGCAAGGTTTAGCAAGTGTTAGCTATGGCTTAGTCAAGAAATGTCACACGTTTGCCCTGTGCAGACACATACGTATGACGAAACATCTTGAATACTGCTTTCCTCCCAAACTATCATACCAAACATAGTCCGCTTTGTCTCAGTGTTTATGCATGCAGACTATTCGGATGCACACTGCTGCAGAGGAGACCGCTGAATGAATTGATGCTAGCATTCGTGAGTTGCCTCTTACTACAGGCGGCGTTTCCTAACCTGACAAAGTTCAACATGACGAGATCATAATCAAGTCCATAAAGGCCGAATAACTAGTAGATCAGCGTGTGTATCATATTGCAAGTATTTGTTAGACTGAAAATTGAGGAATGTGACGAATCGTGTCGGAAACGTGATTAATAAAAATAGACATTTCTTTACTTGACTTTTTTGGTGCTTAAACTCACAACTTGAAGGATGGTTGCAGCAATAATCCCACCAGCCTTCTCGTATGCCGATGGATAGTTGAGAACACCTGCGCCCAGAGCCGTATTTACTAGGAGAAAAGCGGCCACTTCCCATGAGATGCCTAAAATGAAAACACAATTATACATAACTAGCAGCAGGTTTTGCACTTTCCTGTACAATCAGAAATATATTGTAACTTTCCAAAGTTTTTAGAGTTGTTTAATCAGATCAATCAGTGCCATCTAAGCTACCTGTTGTACGGATGTAATATGTATATGATAATAACAAACAGTAATTATCACATGCCAAATTGTAGCAGTAACAAAGTACGCAGTGCTTTCGAAAGTTGGAAGAGGTCGGGCGTTACAAGCGACTCAACTTCCAGATAGCTCTAGTCTTTTTAAGAAATACTTCAAGCTTTGAACAGCGCAGAACTATTTAATAATTGCTTTTGAAGTTAGGTGATACAGGCGTACCGAGCAGGCGATTACATTTCTCTATGGAATCCTGAATTAAAGATTTTCTATAGCTGACTCAACCTTTAATATTAGCTCATCGACTTGTGCCTTTGGTCGTCGTATATACAATATTTATGCACTTTTTATTTGTACGTAAAAAGGCAAGGTAGAATTGGAACGCTTGTTGTGCTTAGCATACAGCAATATCTAAGATACATATGGGCAATAACCAATGCTTCCTCATAAAGCAGCTGCGCAAAAAAGACACGGATCGCTTTGTTGCATCGAAGTGTTGCTGAAAACGCTTTAGAATATACTGATCGTACTTCCTTTTACGTCACAAGGACATGTGGGACGATAAGATTCGGTGAAGTGTATTGCCAAATACTCCACTAAATCCACATACCTATAAAATGGCGAATTTCTAAACAAGCAAGCTACCACTATGTTCAAAATCGAGAACTATTATAGTGTTACACGTGCTCGAAAGAATAGTTGATCGCTATTTTCGAAGTCAACTTCTTAGAGGGGATCTTTGAATGTATTCTCTAGACCTTGAGTGTGCCTTTGATACATTTTAAGATCAAGCAAAGCTACGTTTACCGCATAATGAAAGGTAGAACAAATTGATAATATAGCACGTCTCGATAAACGACTTGCTTTCGTCACTCTATATATTTACCTTGCATTGAACCTGACGACTGTACACGTCTAAGCAAAGGTACCTTGTCCCCATGAGCGCGTTCCTCATCAATAGTGGCATACTCCAAGGTATTATGGCGATTTACTCTTATTGAGCCCTGGCGAATCTTTTCACTAAGGTCACTGCTAAGCGTATGCCATCCTAAGTAGGTAGTATACTCAATAGAGGAATTGAAGGATGACAGAAATTGTCGAGCTGATGTAGACCGCTGTCGAAGCTGAGCTCCTAGCAAGTTAGTGTTTGTTTCGCAACTACTTTCCGCTGTGTAGCCTGATTTTAATGAGCTGTCGATTCCGCTGGTGTGTAGCCCAGCCGAGAGCATGAAAGCACGCTTGCCGTTTGCAGCCATTTTTGGGGGTGCAAGAGGATTGCTGAAGAGAACTTGACAGGTCTCCCTCAACCTCTCGACCTCCACGTTTCTACAAACTTCGTCCCTGCCGCTGATCGACAGTGGGGACTCGTTGTCACAATCACGCGCAATAGACGAACCACTACAAGGTGCACCCTGTGAAAATCCGCTTGCACAGTGTGCTCCAGCCTCTTGATTTACACTATAAGGTCTATTGAGGCAACTAACGCGTTGTGAAGCTCGATCGGTGTAATACCAAATAGGCTGGTTTTCGGTTGGCTTAAGTACATCGGTTGCGCAGGTCTCCTCGGTCAAGGAGAAGGTGTGTTGGGGTATGCTGTTGGCTGTTGTGCTTCTTATAGGAGAGGACCGGAGGGGAGCGGAGAGCGAAGGAATGCCGGAGAACACCATCGACTGTCAGGAAGACACTGCGGATTAACACAATTGAATACTTTACGCGACTGCAGACAAAACGAAAGACAAAGTCTTTTGCTTGTCCCACCAGTCTCGGGAAGGCGTAGTTGGGCACATCAGCTGTTCACGACGAGTCGACGCGCGTAATATGGGAGGGCACGTTTCCACAAGAACAACGTCGCTACTCATGCGATGGAGGAGAGTAAACCGGAATGGACAAGATGCGTGAAGATCGAGAACTGAAAGAGGAGGCTTTTTCATAGAGGAGCAGTAGAAAACAGTGCATGTTTACCGTGTGCATAGAAATATCGCGTTATAAGATACATTATGATTTTCATGAATAATAGAGGATTATTATTAGGATTATAAGAATAGAAGAAGGTAGCCTATGCAAGAGACTGTTACATCTGTAATTTTGCGTCGACGTAACTTTGCAGAATACGCATATAATAATGTTGAGAGGTTTCGACGACATCGTGGAATATCTTGAAAAAAATCGTTCGGAGGCCCGTCAGTTGTGCCTAGTCTGCTGGAGCCGCTATTTCCTTCCAGGGAACAGGATATGCTAGTATGGAAATGCATATCGACAGCGATGCATCAATATACGCTGCAAAACAGCTGCAAACAAAATATTTTAAACTTTGACACTAGGTACAGCATACAAGTTTCTCGACAACAACGGAAAAATTACAGTAATTAAAACAAACTGCTTTGTGTGGACAGGTTTTTCGGTATGAAAGTGCTCACTCGCATTATCTAACCCTATTCAGCAGGAGGGTGAAAGTGAGCTAATCTTTTTTTGCAGATACCTTAGATGTTTAGCTTGCATAACCTGTGTGAATAAAAAAAAAATTAAATAAGTGTTGTATCTTCGTTATCCCTTGTACGTTTGCAAAGGCCCGATTCAGTCTCTGTAGAACCTAAATGATCGTATGTGTGAGGCGATGACTCATTCAGGCAAAAGCTTAAATCGGGTTACAAAGCTCAACGAATTAGATACATACCAGCGCATCTTCTACTTAAAAATGGGTGAGATGAAACAGACCTTATGTAATTTTGCTTAAGTAATAATATGCAACTTTGCGTTTAAGTTGGCTTCGTAATATATACTCAGGGGTACAAAATGGATGTCTTAGATTAGTCTCGGATTTATAGCAGAAACGTTTCTCTTAATTTGCTGTAATTTAAAAAATAATACAAGCAAAGTATTAGCAATTAGCATAAACTACCCCACTAAAAAGTCATATCATAAACTACACATTAAATAAACTGACTACAGTGAATGCTTCACTTAAATATTAGGGCGGAGAAAAAAATATTTTGAACTCGTAGCGGACTAGGTTTCAGCCAATGTCGTCGTATGGGCTGCGACTGTAACGTGACTGTTCGTTTAGCTTTTTGGCGTGATAAAACCTTAAAATAACATAAGCGCATAGGTATATCATCATCAGCTTATCATTATCATGATCACCATCTCATCATGAGCTTCTAATAACAATGACGCGACAACGACAACCAACGAAGCTTCCACTTTTGCAGTGGTTTTGCGGCCGGTGTACGTCAGTAAAGCGATGTATTTTTGTTGGTGTGGTTATTGCCACCGGCATGTATACCAAAGCAAGAAACGAGTTCTGGTGTAACCTTTGACATTACAACTCATTGGGTCGATGAACGGAGGACAGAGGTCCAAAATTGTTAAATATTAAGAAAAGATATAATAAAAAACTGTGACGGAAACCACTAGAAGGAAGTAACACATACGGTTAGATTAGCATTCACTATGCATGATTTAAACCCTGCACCAGTCATGGAAATACGCAAGTGTAACCACTGCTACGAACTCACTTTTTTTGCCTAATTCAACACTTCTTATTCGCACATGCATCGCTGGGTTTCCTATGCTTTATTTCTTAAAACAAATAAAGCAAAACATGTTGTTTAAATATTGAAACCAAGGTTCACAAACACAAAATAAGGGATACTATATAATGTCAAAATAATAAGTTGCATCTATTCTGCATTTGGTTCCAATTCGTACGGAGAAACAAGAATTACTAATCAACAAAAATCTCTTGTGCTGAAATAAGGATAGAGTTATAGAGCACCAGATGTGAAGCGGCTTAATTTGGGCATTACTGCAATATATATATATATATATATATATATGCAAAGGCATAAACACGCAAGACTCTGTTATCCTCCTATATTTTACACTTTATCCCAACTTAGTATCAGATTAAAATAGTCAATCTAAATATGAACGACAAAAGGTAATATTAGTCCATTAGTATCGGTTGGCATCATCCATATTAGAGATTAAAGTTGTAATTTATGCGCACGATTTTAAAATATCTTTAAGGCAATGAGTATAACATTCCGATATATTATATTACAAAATATAACGCCAATACCAGCCTGAACCAAAGATGCTGCGTGTCATAGAATCTGCATAATTCTACTTTTTGTCTTTAGGACGCTTTGTTTTAGAGTAGTAACTTTTTACTTCGTCATACGAGTCGTGCTGTATATGTCGTTAATGGGGCTTGATCTTTGTTCTGTATCATTCAGCCAATAACAAACTTAACGACACAGACAACTTTTGTTTCGCACGGAAGCTTCTACGCGTATGCGTGCCTTTACTTTTTCTGTGGCGAACCCATCTTTTACTTCTAAAACAGAGATTCTCCTCTTAAAGCGTAGTAAACTATGAAATTTATTTAAAAATTTCTACAAAAAGAAAATCTTTTGAGTGTCATTAGAGATCTAGTGAAATTGTGATTAGCATAATATTAGGGTGTAATCATTTACTTATTTATCCTTCTTGAAAAGCTTGACTCAACATTCGAGTGTTTTTTGAGGAAAAGGCGACCAATGTGTTCATTTTACATAAATAAATAGTTTAGAATTATTAAATGACACTGTAATCGGCAGCGACGTTTACTTTTATAAATGCATTGTTCTATATCGAGGAGAGTTTAAACCAAGGAAAAACTGGTGTTAAGCTTGTGTTGATTCTCTATTTTTAGGACGTAAAATAAGAAACGCTCCTGCAGAGCAAGGAGGACATCTGAGCTATTACACAATCGTTTAGACATAGTACTCAAGCTCATCCGACATTATTCGAGGCTTGAATTTTTAGCCAGAAGTGACTGAAACAGCGCCAAACAAATTTTTCTTTATTCTTGCTTTTAGTGCACTCGTCTCCCACTATCGTGCTATTGCCGTTAGCAAAAGCTCATTACGCTCTAAATATAAACAACAAGAGTATAGTAATTAACTCACAAAAAAATGGTGCCAAGTTGGTGGAAACAACGCCGCTGCTCTTTGCACGATAACCTATTTTATGACTATAACGCCATTCTTCACCTTCTTAGTATTGTCTTTTGCGTTAACCTCAAGCTTCAGACCTTATTACATGGATTAAGTTGTCTTTTTGATGATTCTTTTCTATGATTCTCTCAAGGAAAAATACTGTAGTTTTTATGAGTAAGAAGTCAAAAAAAAACCTGTCAAAACCACCTAATACAGAACATGTAACAGTTATGACTTAATAGCTAGATTGATTTATCGTTGACCGTCCTACTGTAGCGCCGCAGCTTATGGTACACCATTGCTGATGATTTAGATCCGGATGCTGCGCACCTGTATTACATTTTTTTTGTGCATGGTTAGAATTGTACGCATTCAATGACCTCAGTGAATGCACCTTTTGCGTCGATGGTACGCTGATGTCGAGCTTGGCCCACTGTTCTAGGCTTTATTTTTGATCTTTGTGATAATTAAGGTATCAGATCATTTTTTAGCATTTTTAAGCTTGCAAAATTAACAGCGACTATTTAAAGAAAGAACCGAACATAAATGTTTGTAATATTTATTTTCATTTTACTTATAATAATATTAATAAATTCAATTAATGCAAATCTCGTTTTGCGGTTTTCTTACATAATCTGTTACAACGAAGACCCTGCTGGATCTCGCCATACCACGCGCGAAATTAGATTTGTTACTTTTACATCTAATATTATACATTATGGCCTATACAGTTCAGCGCGAGAACGTCTTAGTTCATGTTCAAGACACGGGGTACACGACGCGTACCCACCGGATGCAGTAGGGAAAGGTTGATTTCAGGAAATTGTTAATCTTCATCAAATCAGAACAAGCTTGATCAACTAATACATGAAGCAAAACTGTGCAGCCAGCTTCGTCTTAAAAATCGTATATATA